GTAGGAGGATGGAGTTTGTAACAATAGAAAGGAAAGTAGCATCATATATATATATATATATATCTATATATATATATCCCATTTATGCTCTATCTACGGAATGGTAATAGATTAGTAAATATTGCACACACACATACATATATATATATGTATGATGTCCATTTGTTTAGGCTATATAATTTTAGCTAACGAGAAGGTCCATTTTAATGATCAAAGAAAAACATGATCCTACTCAGTTAACTAAAAAGGTTATCCAGAAGGTCGATCGAAATTTAGGAAAAATAATATATATATATGATAATGACATAGAGATATGATGAAAATTAAACGCATATATGCATATATTCTCATATATTTCAAAGGATTTTTGCATTCCTTTGAGTCGTGTTTCATATCATTTATAAAGAACTGCTTCCGCTGTCTCGAAGATTAAGGATATTTTTAGGTAGGAAAAATGCACCTTCCTTTTTTTGAACTCATTCCTCCCTTCGGAGTTTGCCAAAGCACAATTCCAATAGAGGGAAAAAGTCAACTTGAATGCCCACGATCAGTCTGGACATTATCAATATTTAGAATGTGCATTACTGGAGTAAATCTACAAAAAATGCATTAGAGTGCTTTGGAACAAAGTCCTATACTTTAGTCGCGAATAAAATGTACCATGACGCTCCCCATACTTTGATAGAAATACCATTTCCAGCGCCCTATTTTTACAGCAATTAAAGAAGTCGATGAACAGAAATATTAACACTAAATTCTGTGTTTTGATGGACCGAAAACAAAATAGATAAAATAGGAAATACGAGAAATACGCAAACAGTAGAAGCAAACGTTCTGAACCAAAAATAAATTTGTGGTAAATTAAATTTACTATTAAAAAGTTATTCCTTTTTCAATATAGTGCTAGCTATAGGATTAGCTTATTCTATGACACAAAAATACCATTATTTCACTCCCTTTTTTTAAAATTTAATATTCAAAATTTCAAAACACTGATTCCATGTATTAAGGCAATATATTAATTTCCATATAATACCTTTCCACACGCATACGTATACATACACATCAGATACTATATTAAGATTACCACATGGTATTATCTTAACCCCTATTGACAGTAAATTCTTTATTTTCCTGCAAGAATTTTTTTTTTTTTAGAGAAAAAGGTTAAGTCAAAAGATGATTTATTTTTCAGCTTAATTTATAAGAAAAATATAGTTTTTTCTTTAGTAGTAAAGCTTTAAAAGGAAAGACATGGATCTGAGTACGAAAAATGAAGGAAACTGACGCGCTAAGACCAATCTCTATAATTTCCCTTTTTAAAAGACATTCTGTTGTAGTGATGACCTAAAAGTGATCGACAATACAAATTAGACTTCCTATAATAGATGGGAAAAGGCGTGATGACCAAAAACCAAATGGAATAGTGATTTTTAACCAGAATAAATTAAATAAATGGAGATTGGTTAAAGGCTCTCAAAACTTCACTTCTACATATCCCCTCACGTTCGCCTATGTCTTTTTCTCATGTATAATTTTTTTCAAACTTCAAAAAGCTTTTTTTTTTACACAAATCGCAATAGAATTTGGAAGAGACATAAAAACTAGAATGAAAATACGTGAAAGTAGCAAAATGAACCCAAGAAGAATGAAGTTAGAAAATAAGGTGAAAACCCATTCAATAAGATATCATGCTATAAGGAACCCTTTAGTGATATTTTTTCTCAATATTTCTCTACACTATTTCATAATAGATGTGTCTTTTTACGAGAAACGAGAAACAGCTTGAAAGTTAATCCTTGTAATATAGATAACCTTAAAGCCGTGGATTAGGGAAATAGTCAAAAATACATGAAAAAATCAAAGCAAAGCAAAAACATAAAATAACTGCAAGTAGAAAACTGTCATTTATTTAAAACTAAAGTGGTATGTCGATGTCACCTCTTTACTTTACCTCTTTACTTCATAAGTTGGATTACCCTACAAAAATAAAAATAGAAAGAAGATTAGCCCATAGTATGGCATCTCCATTTTCAACCTAAGGTCTATAAATACTATATCTTTCAGGCGTTCCTTAGGTATCTATTTTTATCTCGCTTAATTCATCCATTATGTAGGTATGGAAAGCTTCCTGTGAATAACATCGACAACATTGCACGAGTTGATTTAAGAAAAAAAAAGAGATCTTCCATTCGCTACATATATGAATAGAATGCACAGATTTCTATTATCGTTGCTAAACTCCTATTTCATTCCATTCTCACCTAGATAATAGAAAACTCCTTCAGTTAGGTAACTAACATTTTTGTTTGGACGATAGAGGCTGAGGTGAATGGAGGAAGCATTCATCCCGACATCGTTCCCTATTTTATTTCATGTGTATATAATTTCCTATTATGCAACCAGTCTAAACAATATTGACTACATTAATAATAATGATGATAATAAAAAGGCTTCTTTCCTTATCGCGGCACCCTACACTTTTATGTAGTGAGTGGTAAAGGGGGGAAAGAAAAAGGTGAAACCACAGGAGAACGACTCGCTTTGGGAAAAGGAAAGTACGGTGGAAGGAGGTCCTTTTCCTCTCCCTCAGGACGTGTTTTGCCTGTCCAGGATGTTTACCACAAACTTCCGCCCCGTCCCCGGGGTGGTGGGGGTTCGAAAGCTTCTCAGCCGCGGTTTTCGTCCTTCGCGGCGGAGGGGGGAATCCCGCCCGGGCCGTCCTCGCGGCGGCGCTGGTACCACTCGGCATCCGCGCCGAACTCCGTGAGGCGGGCGTGGAAGGCGAGGTTGGGCGAGACGCAGCTGCGGCGCTCGCGGACGAAGCCGAGGGCCTCGTCGTAGGCCCGGCCCTGGTCGACCATCAAATACGCGATGACGATGCTCGCGCTGCGGGAGATGCCGCGGCGGCAGTAGACCAACACCCGCCCCCCGGCCGAGCGGGCCCGGCGGATGAAGGAAAAGGCCCCGTCGAGGTGCGCGGCCAGGTCCTGGTCGTGGCGGTCGCGCAAGGGGACGGCGTGGTAGTGCAGCCCGGCCGAGAGCGCCACCGCCGCCGGCCCCAGCTCCCGCGCGGCGTTCATCACGTAGGCGATCCCGCGCGCGCGGAGCAGGGCCGCGTCCACGGCATCCCGCCACGTCCCGAGGTAGAGGAAGTCCGTGATCTCGCTCAGCGG